TATGCTCCTCTCCTATTCGAGCTGTCCAGTGAACGTCTGAATCTGCCCCTGAAATGGTAATTAGATCATTCTTTTTATCATCGTCTCGGTCGGTCGCTTATCCTACCGCTTCTTCAACCCAATGCTTATCTATTTTCTCCTATTATTGGTCCAACTCGGGTATGTCTTTTAAAATATAGTCACTCTTCCTCTCGCTGATGCATAGGAAACACTGTATCGCTTTCATCAACATTACCTTCAGAAATAAAAGTCAAAATCGGTGGCAATGTAATGGATGGAGCACGTAGAGTAATCGTATTTAGCCGTCGTCAGTGTGAAAGTTATGACACAAACAATAGCAGCTGCCGCGTAGCGTGGTCTCGCGTGGCGGTGATAGCGATCGGCGCGGCGCAAACTATGAACGTCTGTGTACAACCAATTGCACGTAAACTGAGCACCCTGCAAGCGGTTATTCTGCGAAACATGAAGCTAGGCAGTCAAGGAAATTTGATGTGAGCGCTCTCAGATGAGGACACGGCACACCTCAAGCCTGCTGCGTATCCCATTGTCGAGAGTAACGTAAGAGATTGACGACGGATGACTCGTCTAATGGTAAGGAGGCGGAGCAGACCTTTCTTTTGAGCGTTCGAGCATATGAAACTTTGTTATTTTTTTTTTTGACCTCATGGTTTTTTTTGACATACCGGCGCCCCTGCTCACCATCACAACTGCAATAGAAATGTGACGATTTCAAGCGGAATTTACTAAAAGTATCATTTTACCATTTTAGCCTCTTTATCTCTTCCTTTCGAGTTCTGCGATGTAAGTGAATACTTTTACACAGTGCGAAGTGTCGCACTCGCGCATCTCAAAAATTTTACGACCCGCTCTCACGGAACCACCAACAGCACACGTGTGGAGGTGGGGGGTAACAAGAATACGACCACTTCTTCCCAAGTACGACCCTCACCCGTTCGAATATTTGAACGGATGCTTCACCTTGTTTCCGCACTCTCACTAATGCACACTCCTTGAAAGGGGGCTCCTGTACAAATATACAGTAGCGGTCAAAAGTTTGGAAACTTTTTTATTTTTGATCTAGCGCGGCCGATACACAACGAAATTGTCCCAAATTTAGATATTCCATACAAAATCGAGTTCAGAATACGACGGGAAGAACAATTTCCAAAAACCTATAATCATATTTGAGAAATAAGATTTTTTTCAAGTAATGGCGCGTCAAAAGTTTGGAAACTTTTTGTTTCCCTTATCATATGATTCCTACTCTTCAATGTTTACTTGTTTCTGTTAATTTTAGTTAAACCATTGAGCAATGTGTAATTTCAAAATGAATTCATATGCAAAGAAAGCAGTTTTTCCATGGGGTCCTTTTTTAAACCCTACAATCCGGAATACGAAATTGAAACTGATTCTTAGTAGTTCAGTCTCTACGGAAGCAATATTATCGGATGTTTCTAGCGTTATTAGGAGTCGAGTAAGCATAAGAAGAATGATCATTCACAAAAAAGTATCTTCACAAGAAAGTTGGTCCTCTTCAAATACTTCGAAAGGTGGTTGGCACGTCCCGTGCCCCCAACATTCCCAACTAAGAGACAACTTTTTCTGGTTTTTTTCCTAATCATATGAAAGTCCAAGTGCACGCCAACATCGGCCGCGACCTGGTGAATATTACGGATGATGTCCCAACAAGAAGCCGTTGTTGGGCTTCAAGGGCAGGATGGCCCAACTGGCTTCCGCACTCTAACGGCTAACATGAACCGGAGCCAAGAGGTGAAACTTTGTCCTCAGCGACGAATGAGATTTCTATCTTCCTAGAAATAATATAGTGGACCCTGTGAAGTGTTTTGTCAAATGGGAACCTCATTTTGAGTATGAGATTCCAACAGTCAGAAATAGTGGAAGTACTGTCATGGATGAACATGTGTCCGACCATTCGGCGATTCCACAGTTCTAGGTATCCAGCGAAATGTGGGTTGGGCTAAGTACAAGTATAGTCTGTAGAATACAATGCTTACCTTAGATAGTCAGAACTAGCCGGAAAAGATGGGTTTTCTATTACGGAAATAACCCGATGCAGGCCTACCTCCCCACTGCCGCCTTCCTCAACCCAGAAAAAGGAGCTGCTATGAAGCGACCAAGTCAAGATCTGAAGTCTAATTGAGTTCTACATCTCACGGAAAAAGTGGCATGTCGCTCTACCCACGTTCCAGTTAAGAATCCCACCAAACAATGTGCTTTAGTTCACAGTGTATGAGGTCCGACTTAAAAATCCTAAAATTATTTTATAATCAATACCATGTCAATAAAAACGACGCTAAGATAGAAATTCAAAGCTACTCATCAAATAACTAATTTATCATGTGGATTTGAGAGCTATTTTGCCGAATTCGCTTTAGAATTCGGAAAGTTTCCAAACTTTTGACGCGCCATTTCTTATAAAAATTCGTATTTTTCAAATGCGATTTCAGTTTTCAAAAAATCATGTTACCCATCGTAATCTACACTTGATTCTGAATATAATATGTGAATTCGGGGCAATTTCATTGTCTATTGGCTACGCTAGATCAAAAATAAAAAAGTTTCCAAACTTTTGACCGCTACTGTAGTTTTCAGCATCCGCTTTCAGATGAGGGTTGGAATGCTGTAATATTGCACAATTATTTCTAAACTAACCAAACGTGACTGGCATGAATGATTCAATTCGATACGCGCTAGAAATGAAGACAGTCTTAAGGGTTCTTTTGAGGTCCAACCACACAATTTGCGAGTACTTATTCAGAGGGGGAAAACGTGACTGCGGCTTCATGCGTAATTCAACAACACAACAGTTTTTGGTAGCTGTACCTTTCGGCTTGGTAGCCAAATAGTGGCTTTGGTTAGGAAACCAACTCTTGAGGAACTTCACATCTTGCTCGGAATTCCGAAAATGCTCGTAAGAATTTATCCCAGAAATCGATTGGTCTTCCTAAAGTCATGCCCCATAGGTACATCGTTCCTCGTACATAAAATACTGCAGTCGGTGACCGAACTTTTTTCATATATGATACATCTGAAACGAGGAATACGTTTTATTTATATGTACAGTGAAATGCTTTCTTGAAAATGGGTAACAACAATCACTGAAATTAATTTTTTGAAGTTATGAACAAAATTCTCTTCTACTATGTGAACGTAAAAGCGTTAGTAGATCTGTAGTGGAAAAGTAGAAGAACTAACAAAGAGTATGTCAATGTGGTAATCTTAGAAGCGACTGCAAAACTTAAGTGGAAATCTAAACCTTCGTGAATTGAAGCTTATCCCAATAATTTAGAGCTTCATTAGCCCAAGACTTCTTTGAAAGTGCCCCATAAGTGCATCGTTGTGGTTTACACTTGACTTCCTGTATCTGGGCAAATCGTAAAAGCAGACTTTGTAGCACAGAATGGTATTTGGTATTCAAAGGCAGAATTCACAATGAAAAGTTAGCTCATTGGAAATAAGGGTAGAATGCGGTAAGCGGAGCAGGGATGAAGAAGAAGCCATTTAAACTGCCCGAAAGCCCGAAATGGAACCCCTTCCTTGCTGCGTTGATTTGCGCATTGATGCGACTCTCATCGTTGTGCCCTCTTCAACCTACGCTCTTCTGCTATCTAATCACTCGCCACGTATAGACCTGCGGCGAGTGATTAGATAGTCGGTGGGCGTACCCGCCAACCGCGCCAAGAGTGAGCCATGCTAGATCGCCGAGGTCAAATCTTTCGCTGCCAATTGCGCGTCGGTCAGCACCCTCAGGAGGTCCGCCTGTCTCCCAACTATGCATTTTCCCCTTCTATTTGTTTATTTTTGATTTTGACCTTTCGATTCTTATCGTGATTCCTCCTTCTAAGGCCATCACGATAGATAAGTACCAGGATTTCAACAAGGCCATACGGTTCTACTGCGTGAAAGGTCGATAGGCACGGTATAAACATAAAGTCTTGTATCATCCTGGCTTGCGGCTTCAGAAGCAATCTCATACGGATAGCACGTATGTTTCTTATGCTGTTGACCATCGAACACCACCTTTATGAAAGAGGGAGGGGAGAGCCGGAATAGTCTTTCTGCTCACAGTGCATATCACCAAATCTTCCGTCGAAGTAGGTGCCAAGAGGCACCTACTTGTTGGTGCTCTGTAGGTGGAGATTAACGGCAACAATTCTTAGACGATTCTCCATGAGAAGAAACAGCAGACCTCCTTCACTCCCTCACCGTCTTCAGAATATGACGTCACCTGCTATCGCCATTGTGGGATGTCCTTCAAGAGGCCCGTCGCGCGGCGAAGGTAGACGCAGATGCGACAAAGGACGAGTCGCAGCGCATACTGTAGCGGTTAGGCGTCAGGTTAAATAGAGTGTACCATACTACGTCTCATATCGCACAGCGCTGCGACTCGTCCTTTGCCGCATCTGCGTCTCTTCCTTCGCCGCGCGACGGGCCTCTCGGGGAACTCGCGCATTGTGCTCAGGAAGACTTGCCGTAACTAACCTCTGACTTGAAACTGCTACATATTTTCTCCCGGTTAACTGATGAATAGCCTCTCAAAGGCAGCAGCTCTGATTGTGCAGGATCCCTGCTGACCAGCAATGTCTAGAATGGACCACGATACGTCGAGAGATCGCTGGGTTCCCCTTGCATCATGTTCCCGTGGCACAGATCATTCTGATGTCGTCCGTATAGGAGGCTTGTGAAATTTTTCGAACCGCTTGCAATGTACTCTTCGACTTCCGAAGGTTATCATTCCATTCGAGTTTAGCGGAGCATGATTAGTTCCGATTTGAATGCGGGAGAAGAATGACTTTTCTAATTCTGCCCACCCGCGTGTACTTCCAAATCCGCATTTACGACTTGCCTTTGTACAGCAAACAAAAATGAGTATTGATTTCAAGTACGAAAATAAAGCGATTAACACGAGCCGTTGCGGTGGAAGTGAACGATTAAAAAAGCAGAGATCAATTACAAAAAAAATCAAAACTAAAAAGAAACTATCCAAGAAGATCGCCACGTGAATTAATGCAATTTTTCCAACGAGTTGGAAGCTCCGCCAATCCTTCCTTGAAAAAACTGGATGGTTTAGTTTTAATGAAGTCACGAAATGCATCATCCACTTCTTCAATCTGCTCCTTTCTGTTATGTAAGTAATTACCGAAATGAGTACTGATGTAAGAAGTGTGAGGGGAAAGATACACTGAGTCATACGGATACGGTAAACATTCAAAACCGAATCGGCACAATATATGAATTACAGCATTACTTATGTATTTTATCAAGTTGGGAGGGGGTTTGAGAGGGGGGGAAGTTATTACGAATATATGAATTACAGCATTACTTATGTATCCGCAAGAGCTGTCGTAGAAAAAGATCGGAGCCGGTCCTTGAACAAGCCATGGTTGTTGTTCGAGTAAACATTTGTTCATTTCGCGTATATACGATGTAAAAGTCCTGCCTTCTTTAGAGGGACTGCTCGACAGAACTTTGTGGAGTATGACACCGTAGGATGACCACCACACCGTCAGCATTGATCTTCTTTTCGTCGAGATATCGGATGGCTCCGCTTTCTCTTGTGGGTCAGATTTTTTCGATAGTCGGCCGACATTGCGATACGTGTAGTCGTATACAATCCATTTCTCCTCATAAACTATTATTCGATCCAGGAATTCACGTCTTCTGTTTCTCAAATACAGCGATGAACAAATCTCAAGGCGGTTGCAAAGTTGATCTTCTTTGCGAATGTAATTCTCTAGAGTTTCCGAGCTTTTCTGAGAGGACCTCTCCCGTTTTCTCGGCGCCGGAGGATTTGCAAAGAGTTCTTTTACTAAATCTTTGAACTTTTTGTTTGGATTTGCCTTCATCATTGCTCTTCCTAACTCCGTCCTTCGAGCTTCGTCGTCTGAGCTTGCTATCATCAGGTGACTGTTCACCACTGTGCTCGTCAATTTGTTCCACAGATGAGGAAGAATGGTTGTCTTCGTCTGGTAATCTGAAATCATAACCATTCTATCAAAATAATCTTTAGAAAGTATTAGATCGACGACGAATCATTTGGACGTCGATCGGTGCAAATGCACACACACACACCTTTCATCCGATTCAGGTTTGGCTTCTGCACAGTTGTCATCTGAAAAAAATGTTATGTACGATACAATACGAAATCAGGCCTCTTTACACGTAAAATGAAAGGATTTCTCAATTGGCTGAAGAGAGAGCACGATGGGGAACAACGATTTTGATTGTATCGCAAAGCATGATCAAGTTCACAAGAGTGTAAAAATGTTAAGGGGAATTAAAACATGTCACTGTGCAAAATTTATAGTACACAACAGAGAGCTTATCCGTTCCATAAGTTCGAGCTGTGAAAAACCCACAGTTCTTCTTGGATCAAACTAAGTTGCGTTTCCCAAAAATACCGACCGTTCTCCACAGACAAGTTATTTTAATTTTAAAATTTTACGGGCATGGATTAGGTTGAGCAATAATTATCCGCCGTTTTTTCAGGCTCATGGTTCTTTGATTTTTTGCTGATTATTTTCAAAGGTTATGATGTAGTCTGAAAGCGCTCAATCTCTTGTACATTTTGATGTACAACACTTGTGTATTTACTTCACTATGGAGCTTACACACTAGCAAAAAATTGCCCCTGCTACATGAGTGCAAGTTGAGCTCGAAACCGAATGCTTCTGCATCTGCTCGTAGAATCAATGAAGCCTGGGATGAAGGCACGGTTGCAGAGAGGACTGTTCGAGAGCGTTTGTTGATTACGCATTTATTGTTGTTTTTGTTTGGGTGCATTATACGAAGTTGGCGCACCTGATGTCACGACACATGTTTCACCAATTTCGGTGTAAAGTTCTGTATAGGGGTTATTTGATGTCCTGATTACGAATATGACATTCGTTTTTGACATTACCGCTGTTTACCGCATACTTCCCGCTTTTCTGGGCTCTCTCACCTATACATAGCGCCTTGGGACTAAGCTTAGGGGATAGGGAGACTCGGAATGAGTGAATCAGGCACCGTGTGACGAAGATGGAGCGTGTGAGATCACAGGGTAGGGGGCTCACTCACTGATATCTTTCCTCTCTCCTAAAGCTTAGTCCTGATCGCGATCTAGTCACTAGGAGGGCGCAGACGAAGAGATTAAAGCGCTAAATGGAGCTAGCGCCAAGAATGAATGTCATATTCGTAATCTGGACACCAAATTACCCCTACCCAGAAGTTTACATCGAGTTTGGTGAAAACAACTGTCGTGACAAGGTGACGCCACCTGGCGCCAGATGGCGCCCCCGTTGAAAATGAATGTCATTTTCGTAATCAGGGCACCGAATTACCCCTATAGAGGAAGTTTCGACGAAAAATAAAATTTTGAGATTTTGGGGTTGTAATAGTTGAATAGTGCCGAATTTTTTTCAATGAA